GATTAATACTAATCTGACTTTATTTATCCTAATTTTTTATTTTTAGATACCATTCTTAATGACGTATTCTTTCTTAATGACATATCCCTTTCTAACGAAACAAATTACGCGATAAAAACAGTAAAGTCCTAACTTAAACAAAAAAAAAAGATCGATTAAATTCTATTATCAGATATATTATAAAAATTACTAATCTAACCTTACTTATCCTAAAATTTTATTTTTATATACTATTATTAATAACTCATTCTTTCCTAATGACGCATCTTTTCCTAACGAAACATACAAATTACATGATAAGAACAGTAAAGCCCTAACTTAAACAAAAAAAAAAGATCAATTAATAAAACTATTATCAGATAAATGCAGAAATTACTAATCTAATCTTATCCTAAAATTTTTATTTTTAGATACCATTATCAATAACACATCCTTTCCTGACAACGTATCCTTTCCTGACGACGCATCCTTTCCTGATGATGCATCCTTTCCTAATGATGCTTTCTGATGACACTTCCTTTCCTAATGATGCTTCCTTTCCTTTCCTAATGATGCATAAAAGCAGTAAAGTATCTTCATCTAAATTAGATTAAAAAAAAAAAAGAGTTAAATACTTTGTCCATTCTCTTCTAGAATTCAAACAGATTTTTTTTCATAATCGCTCTATTTCTTCATTATTATACATTTCTATTTCATTTTTTAAAAAATAAAACTTTATTAAATAAAACTTTATTAAATAAATACTTATAGCAAATCTGTATGAAAAAGTCGTGGCCGAATTATTAGGTCACAATGGAAATAACACTATTGGTGATCCTATCTGTACTCCTTATGATCTATTACAAAATTACCAAGCACAAGTTGCGATTACTTATTAGTCCTTCCTTCAATCCAAAAGAACAGAAAATCAAAGAGCGCAATTATGGTACGCCTATTATTTGGGCGAAATATTGGAAAACATGCCACCAGAGCAAAGAATGGCTTGTATTAAGCAACTTATTAGATACTACACCACCGCAACCGTTTGAACTTATTATATTTTTCGTAAGTAGGGAACTTCTTTAATCGATAAAACTACAAATTTGGCAGTGCCAATGATCTATGAATTGTAAAAAAAGATTATCAAAGTATTGTAAATTATTTGTACTAATGTTACAAAAGATATTTCTCAACATATAGTTAATATCGTGATACTTAATTTGTACAAGAAATTATTAGTCGAATTAAAAATGTAATCGCTAAATTTTTTAATTTGAATAAAGAAAAATATTAAATTTAGAAAAATCTTTGATATAAGGCCACACAAATTTAATCACTTGGTTTTCATAACAGGAATCTTTTTAAATTGACCTAGCTAGTTAGCTTTTTTTTAAAAAATTTTATATATTAAATTTTATGAAATTTATATAAAATTTTTTCTTAAACCCTACCTGGTAATTAAAATGTGTAAAAAAAAATTATTTTTTTTCAAGACTTCCAAATTTTGACCTGGCTAGGTTATGATAATCGATTGATTAATTTTTCGTGGCCTAATATATAATATTACACATTTACCGTATTTATTGCTTCAAATACCCATTATTAAGCGTGCTGACTGGCTCTTCTATTTAAACCTTTTAGCTGTTGCTGAATATAGTTGCCTAAATTCAGATCTCTCTATAATCACAGTAGATATGTAATAGTTATATCCTGGGCAGTTGGGTATAAGCAAAAATGAAATTTTTATTTATACACATAGTGTTTAAGATATAACTGATATATGCCCTGTGATCTTAATCTAGTGACCAGAATATATATCCAAATATTTATAATTTACAGTATTTATTACTACTGGGGATTTCTTTAATTTAGAAAAGTTCTACGTATTAAGTATATAGCACGTTATTGTTATCGCAAAAAAGTTAATACAATAGTACAGTATCACGAATCATGTTATTGAGGATTGACGATTGCGTCCAATCAAAAATGTGATTTACCTATGGCCAATCAAAACTTGGGAAGGAAATTAGTAAATGCAGTTGTCAACCCATCATGTAGTGAATTTTAGCAAATCGGCCAATCAGATCACAAGAAAAAGGTTGTGAGATTAACAGGGATTAAACGAATATATTATAAGGTCCAGAAGGGAACATCCCAAATTAGGAAATTATTTCGGTATGGTTATAAAAGTGTTAAAGAAATTTTTTTATATGTTTTACAATACTTTTTCACGAAGTTTGGATAACCTATTCTTTCTATAAAACATGAGCAAGCACACTAAGCAAACTTGAAGCCTTCATACTGTATTATAACAATATCTGCTTAATCTCTTTTAATCCCACAGCCTTCATATTCAATATGTCTGACAAAATTAGCAAGCAATGCAAAGAATGCAGAGCTACTGAATCAAAATTTCGTTCATTAAAGAATGAAAAATGGAGACAGACTGAAAGAAATGGTTTAATAAAGGTAATGTAAAAAGATAGTATTCTTTTATGTTATAAATGTTATATGGATTTAGTAAAAAATTCATTACAAAAGATTAAAAAAAAAGTACTAAATGAGTAAGAGTCACAGTTGAAGCAGAGAACGAAATAGAAGTTACAAGAGAAGAAGTGAAAGAAATTCAAGTTGTTAAAGAAGTAGAATTCGTATATGAGAATGAAGATGCTATAATTAGAGAGAAAATTGATGCTATAATTAGAGAGAAAATTGATGCTATAATTCAGAAAAACATAATGAATGAAGAATTAGAAAGTACTGATAAAGAGGATATAAATGTCACTACTGAGGAGTTAGATGTCATTAATAAGAAGAAGATACGTATGATTAACCTTGTTGGAGTTATAAAGGCAATAGTAGGGATCTTTTATGAGTGAGAATATGTGCAAAAAAAAGGACCTATATATTCATTTAATGAAATGTGAGAATTACTTCCACAGATCGATTCAAGTTTGAAAGATTTTTTCGATCAGCTTTATTTGCTAGCTCGGTCATTTAAACATTGTGAGAAGACAATAAGGTGTATGAAAAAATTAATGGTGTTTTTGTGCTATCTTCTTGCATCGTTAAATAATTTGAAAATTAACTCTTTTAAGTTCGATTTAGCATACTATTTAGATTCTGTAGGTACAAGTAATGAAGGTTTAAATATCTTAGCAGGTATCGAAATAATTACAATAGTAAGAGCTGTAAACTATAAGAAAAGACAATGTTCAGAGGCATATGGGAAATATGTAGAAAAAATTCTTGAAAGTCAGTTGAAAAATACTTTCATGTTAAATATTGATGATTACTATAATGTCTATGTTTTACGGCAACCTGATACTACTAGCACATTTTGGGCAGTGCATATAGCTACAATTATTGCAAATCTGTGCCCTATATTAGCGATACCGTGTAATAGAATAATAAACCTAGAAATCGTTAATAATGAGCTAATTTTGAAGCATCTTGATGAATATTTATTGTAAATCTTGGGATTTCTTATCATGACTATAGACAAAATTATATAGGTAAGTGTTCTGATAATAAACTTATAAAAAGGCTAACTTTGCATAGTTATGATGACAGGTTGGTAGAAAAAAAAAATGATAGACATATACAGAATGCCATTCTTTTTGATTTTACTGAAAGTAACTTGAAGAGTGTTAAAGATTATATGAAAGCTCTTCAAGTTGTGTATAATCAAAAGCTGATGCAGAAGTATCTTTCTAATAATGTGATTCTAATTGTTGTGGACTGGCCTGAATAGTTCTTTATTCGCAAAGCTATTGCACATTGGCTTTTTTTCAACAACAAAACAATACCTCTATTTGTTTTAGCATTTGCACCTATGATGGGACCTCTTCATGTTTCTTTAAACAGTCGTGAGCTCATTTTTTTAAAAAATTCATTCTTATTTAATGATGTTTACAAGAGTATTTTTGGGAAAAATAAGGATCTTGGTAAAAAGCCACAGCCATAGTGAATTGATTTAATTATTTATATCATGAATATGGCATGGCTTGATATAGCCGATATTGTTTTTGAGAAGTTTGGTCATATATGTAAAAATATAGAGTATTTATATCTAACTGGCCTTTTGAGTAATTTAATCCCTTTAGTGCTTGATGTTTATGCTATACATCATCAGGAAGGTAACTGGCCAGTCTACGAAGAAGCTTGTATGCACTGCTGATGCAATCTTTTTCTTCGATTTGATCGAAGAAATTATAAGAGTGCATCTTTAATATTTTTTTCTAACATTTTTTACTGGATGAAAACTAATTATCTAATAATAAGTATAATTACTAATCACCTTGCCTCATTAAGCAATTGTCCTGTAGAACTTGTTCACAGTATAATTCAACAGCATACAAATAAGTTTTCTGATGCAAATTAACTGCAAAAGATGGCACAGTTTATCTTTTAACACCAGGAAGATAATGCTTTTCAGCAATATTTTGTAAATTCAATTAAATATCCATACACTCCCAAACAATTGCACACACTTTACAAAAAGTGTGCTATAATACTTTTAGACATGTTTAAGAAGATATATTGTGCACATTATTTATGCTCTTTAGTAATTGATTCTTCTGATGGTATTAACACTTATAGGTTATCTTCTTTGAGCTACAAAATCATGGATCGTCATCTTCCAAGAGGTTTTATTACCTCTAGAAAACCTTTTACTGTTGTATTGTATGATTACTTGTATTGCGATTGTACCAGTTATACCAATTATTTGAATAATAGCAAGGTTCTTTCGTGTAGACATGGCTATCATAATTCATGTTTGAAAAAATGTCAATATAAGTGTGAAATTTGTTTCAGTTTTCTTAAGGATGAAATTATAAAAAATATTAATGCATTAAGGGTAAGTATAAAGAAAAAATTGGATGAAAATGAATTTATCAACAAGGATATTAAAAACATAGTCGATAATGATTTGGATAATACTGAAACTGCGATTGACAATGCAACAACAACAGTGAATTTATTAGAACAAGTTAAAAAATTATTTTCTAAGTTGTAATTTTTTTTTTATTAAATAAGAGTTGTAATTTTTTTTTTTTACAAATAAAAAAATTGTCACGACATTATTACAACATTATCAATACTGCCATAATAATTAAATATAAATTACTATTACATTATAATAAACATTAATATCAAATTAATTATTTAATAATTTTATTTAATAAATTTATTTAATAATTTATTTAATAAATTTATTTAATAATTAAATTTATTTAACATTAATAAATTATAAATTTTAGATTGGTTGAAAAATAGTATTGTAATATGTATAAAAAAAAATTGTTTATCAATTGTGTGACAATCAGGTGACTTGGGTAAATATTTTCTAATTTGGGACATTCTCTTCTGGAATTATAAGGTGAAGTAATACATTAATTTCATCTGTTTTATTTACTCATGTTTTATAGAAAGTTAATCTATCTGAGCATTTTAATAAAATGTATAAAAAAAATCATATATCAGTTGTGTAATAATAGGATAATCGTTTCCATATTTGGGATAGTTCCTCCTGCTGCATCAGCCACAAAGCTCATCTGATTAATGATTTTTTAAAAAAATGTTTGGGCCAAGTCAACTGATCTAACCAAAATAATATAAAATTATAGACAAAAAAAATTTTTTTCGTCAGAGTTAATATCACTCTATGTGCTGCACAGCACATGAATAAAATTAATTAACTCTGATGAAAAAAATTTTTCTATCATTTGCCTAATATTGATAGTTAATATGACAATGTGAAACTGATTATGTAATTTTATGCAACATCATTTTTATTATAATAAAATGATGTAATAACATCTAATACATAGTGGTATTGTAAAATAATTTTTTTATATATTGTTAGAGAATATGCATGGTACACCTTTATGTTAAGAAAATTTTGAGCTGCTAGCCAAAAAAATATGGATTATAGTATCTCAAAAATTCACTATATACGTATCTAACATTAATAATTATATTTTATAAGTAAAATTTTATTTTAAAAACTTTTACTTAGAGGTCAGAAGTTAGTTATTATAGTAAATTTTTATAATTTTTTATGTTTTTCACATTTGTTTTATTATACAAGATTTTGTAATTTTATTGGATTTGAATAGGGTTGAAAGTGATCTTTAGCAATCTTTAGTTTAGGATTTCTTTGATATAAGAGTACCTGTACAAGAATAATAAATGATCTAAAATGCTTCAAATAACTCAAATGACAAATAACTATTTTAAAATCCAAATAATCTTAGAAGGTTGCACCTCAGACAATACTATACTTCTTGAATAGTTATATTTATTACCAAAACTTCTTTATTTGCCTAAAAGTAGAAAATTGATCTGGTTTACTGAACTTGAAAATCTTATTATAGAAAATCATCATTATCATTTCTTCAAACTTCAATACCAATAGCAAAAAACTAACCCCTTTGCATATAACATATATAATATTTCCAAAAATTATAAACCATGATTGATTACTTTCAATAATCAGAAAATTATTATAGACAAAATCTATAAACATCTTACAAACTCTAACCAATTATCAATTACATATTGGCAAACTAATATAAATATAAACAGTACTGATTACTACCTATTTTAACTAATTAATTTTGTTCTTTGCTCAGGTTATTAACTCAACTCACAATAAATAACTACATCATGCACTATTAATACTTTATCTATTACATCTACTTAATTTCTTGGTAGAATTATTTCAAATTTAGTTAAAATAGATGCAAACTATCTAGACCTCCTTAGCTCTGCTACAATTAAATAGTCTTTGCCAAATTCCTTACTACTACCATTGCCTTTTATTCCTATTTTCAACTCCATCTCTTCTGCAATTTTTGAAGCAAGCAATGCAATTAATAAACTTGATCAAATATCTTCTAATAACCTACTATATAACTTATTTAACTTCTATACTGATAGTTTAGTAATTAGTATAAATACAAATAACTGTACTATGGGTATCAGCTGGATTCAAGTAAATTCTAATGACTAAGTTATCCACAAATTCACTGCTAAAGTTCACCTTTGGCTATCTTCTTACAAGGTTAAACTCTTCTCTATTCTGTTTCCTCTTTTAACTATCACTCGAAATTCTACAATTAACATCTATACAGATTCTCAATTCATAATATTAAAATTTATTCAACTTAATCAATCACCTTTAAATCCTAATAAACTCTTTAAATTTAACTCTTGGTCCTTATGACATATTCTATTAAATATTATTAAATTATACAGATTAAATATTATTTTTCATAAAGTTTAAGTTTATTCAGACAATATTCTTAACAATCTAGCAGACTTACTTGCTAAGCAATATACAAATAAATTATCATTATATTTTAACTATACAAATATTTACAACCTATATCATTTATTATTCTTTGAAACAGAAAAATTTCTTGTTGAACTTCTTATAAGATACTTTGTTAAAAGTATTTGTAAAATTTATAACCTTATACTATAGTTATCACAAAAATGAAATGATAAATAAACTCTATTAGTCCATTATATCAACTGGAATTCAATCTAGCTATACTTTAATTATAATCAAAAATCTACCTACAACCTTACTAATTTTAAACTTAACCAATTCAAATTATTTAAAATTAAAATACTTCTTAATAAACTATCTATTCAATACCTCTATTATAAAATCTACTCTTTAACCTTTCATGATGCCAATTACTTTTACTGCAATTCAATTTTGTTACCATTACATTGGTGCACTTGTGCCAATTCTTTTCTGTTTAATAGCATTATTCCTAATATAATAACTAACTGTATAAACTCAGCCAATTTAGATTTCTCTAACAATAAACTAAAGAACTTATCCAAAAAATTAAAAACTATTCAGCTTTCAAAGAAACACCTCTTTACACATCTTTATACTATCTAGAAATTACTCTTAAAGATCTTATTCCCTTATCTCTAATTAAAACTATTCAGAATCTAAAAGTTCTATACAAACTAGCATCAACAATCACAATTAATATTCTGCTTAAAATTAACAAACAAATCTATAAACAATTATAGAAACCCTATTGTGTTAATTTCTCAAATTGGAAAAAACAATAACAAATAACCAATACACATAATATACAACAAATTTCATCTTTCTACAGTAGAAATAATATACATACTCATCATAATTTTATATATTCTTGTTTCTGTAGTCAACCTGACCAACTCTATTCATATACTGGAACCTGTTCACTTGTTGAACAGGTCTTTAGAAAAATTAGTATTTGGGCTACTTTATAGATCAAGTATCACATAATTTTTAACTTTATTTTAATTATAAATAATATTATCTAGGTGAGTTTCTGACCACTCTAGTAGGTTTAGGTTGCAGATAAATTAGATTTATTTAATTGTCTAAGCTTTTATTCTTGCATGTAATTTTCTT